GAACCACAGACATCTGATTGAAGATTGAAATGGTGTAAATTGATGCTATCAGTGTCTCTGATACACATACAACTTTTTTAAAATCTCTTTACAATCCCTTTAAATATTTTACAATCCCTTTAACCAGGTTTATTTAGTTTTTACGTGATTCATTATCTATATATATGTTATTTTCTTAAATCTAGAAATTCTCAGCGGTTTTCGTTTGTTGATCAAAAAAAGAACATTTTTATATGTACGACTAAATTATATTATGGTAAATCTTTCAAGGATAAAATCTGTCAAATTAAGTTATAATTCAACCAGTTTTCAGTCGCTGTCCTTTTTGATATATTGTTCAAGGTTGTTTACTTATTTTACTTCTGCTACGACTGGGCAACAACGGAAAAACGTTGGAGAATATGCCGATTGACTAAAGAAAGTTTCCAATCAATCCAGCTTCTAGTTCTAATTAGTTATTGGAAAAGACTTATTATTCTAGTCTATTCAATTCTGTTGTAATTTTCTATTGGCTAGGGTTCAATATGAGATAAAATGACGGACTTACGTTTTGTTATTCTAACGATAAAAGAGCGAACAGAGTAGAACAAAAAGGATCATATCCAGTCCACCTCATCGTGCCTAGTTTCTTCTACTTTCTAGGGTGTAATATCCATCATCCACAACACTCTACACCAGACCTCGTTACTCATAAAACTCGTTTAATCCCAACTCAATACACTGTAATACACCTCAATACACTGTAATACACCTCAATACACTGTAATACACCTCAATACACTGTAATACACTGTAATACACCTCAATACACTGTAATACACTGTAATACAACTCAATACACTGTAATACACCTCAATACACTGTAAGACACTGTAATACACCGACTCCCTGGCTCAGATGCAGGTGTAGAATTACAAACATAGCATGAGTTTAATACGAGGTTAAAGACAAGAATCGTGTGTACAGGTGTTAAAACTGTTTATTACAGGTGTATCAGGTGTATTGGTATTATCTATATATATTATACAGGTGTATCAGGTGTATTGGTATTATCTATATATATATTATACAGGTGTATCAGGTGTATTGGTATTATCTATATATATATTATACAGGTGTATCAGGTGTATTGGTATTATCTATATATATATTATACAGGTGTATCAGGTGTATTGGTATTATCTATATATATATTATACAGGTGTATCAGGTGTATTGGTATTATCTATATATATATTATACAGGTGTATCAGGTGTATTGGTATTATCTATATATATATTATACAGGTGTATCAGGTGTATTGGTATTATCTATATATATATTATACAGGTGTATCAGGTGTATTGGTATTATCTATATATATATTATACAGGTGTACAGGTGCTGGGTGTGGTTCTAATGCTAAATATAGCACTTATAAATTTCGACATTAAGTTGAAAACAAATTAGAATATTTAGGAATTGCTATGCTTGGTTATAGTAGACCTACCAATATGGAAGTTTAAGTATCGCTATGATTGGTTATAGTAGACCTACCAATATGGAAGTTTAAGTATCGCTATGATTGGTTATAGTAGACCTACCAATATGAAAGTTTAAGTATCGTTATGCTTGGTTATAGTAGACCTACCAATATGGAAGTTTAAGTATCGCTATGCTTGGTTATAGTAGACCTACCAATATGGAAGTTTAAGTATCGCTATGATTGGTTATAGTAGACCTACCAATATGAAAGTTTAAGTATCGCTATGCTTGGTTATAGTAGACCTACCAATATGGAAGTTTAAGTATCGCTATGCTTGGTTATAGTAGACCTACCAATA